TGCAGGCCGGGGGCGGGGGCACACAAGTACGGCTGGCCAAGTGCCGGAGAACGTTTCCAGGGTCTCGGGGAGGGAATACATAGCCCTCCCACAAGAGGGCAGGAACCCTGCATGCGAGCTACCAAGTTGTCAAAACAACACACTAGGCATCCAAAAAGAGGGGGCATAAGACCTGTACCCTGACATACAGGGAGGTCATGTGCCCAAAAGTATTAGAGAGGGGGCCTAATGCTCCCCAAGGCCAGAAGGCATGGAAATCTATAACGTTGCTTTACCCCCTGGGTGAGGAGGAGGGAGGAGAAGGCTAGAGGACGCATCTCGCCCCTTTTCCAGCACTGGGAAGAAAACAAAGCACGCTGCAGCGATTTTAAGAACAAAAAGAAAATAACAAACGCTTTCATTCCCAGGCACTCCTCTCTCTCACCATCCACACTCTCACAAGGGTAAAAAAACTTCCCAGGCTGGAAAGGAGCTCCATGCTGCAAACCGCTTCACCTCCAGCCTTCCACGGGAAAATCCTCCTCCACTCCCAGGGGGCAAGACGGCTGAGACTGGCACCCTCCTTACAGGGCCCCGTCCACCTGACTAGTCACACTGCCCTTAGGGGGCAAAAGGGGAAGGCCCAGAGCCTGCTTACAGGGGGGGCCCTCAGCCAGCCAAATCAGAGCTATCACCAAAGGCACAGCGAGAGAGCTGGACCCTGCTTACAGGGTGGTCCATAGCTCTGCAGAGCCTCGCCCTCCACCGGGGCACGGGACTCGCACCCTCCTTACAGGGCGGCCCAGCCGTCCGGATGTGGAGTGCCAGGCACAGATGCAGGAAGGAGGACCGGCACCTGGACACAGGGATCGGAGAGGAGGCCACGAGCTTCAACCCAGCCACGGGAAGGTCGTCCAGCTCTGGGGTCTAAGGAGTTTGCTGTCACCCCACGAGTCTCTGCTCCTGTCTGCAAGGCCGCCCTGCGGCACCGCGCTGCAGACTGCTCCGGCTCGCTCACGCCAGCGCCAGGAGGCTACGTCCACCCTGCTGACAGGGGCACCTCTCTGACTGGCTGGCTATGGCAGTGGACCTGGTCTCCCAGTTACAGGACGTCCAATGCTACACACATCCAAACCTGCTGTCCTTCTCCCGGGATAGCAGGCACCACACACCCTGCTTACAGGAGCCTGCGCCATCCGCAGCCACGTCTGGCAGGTGGCCTGGACCCCGCTTACAGGGCGGG